CCCGGAGCTGCTTAAGTGCTCATGATATTCTGGAAAAAGCACCCGGTGGACTAGCAGGTGTGGACATGCCATTTATTACTCACATTACAGGGAAATGCACTACCATTTGTTATCAGTGCTGACAGCAAGTCCCCATGCAATGGGATATGTCCTTGTCCACTGCTGCCTTGACCTTTTTAGTGAGGAGATGGCCCTGACACGCCACCGTGTTCCTTCTGGGGAGGTGATTCCAGCTCCTCAGTGACATGTTGACCAAGGGTGCACTAGGCCTGAGTTCTCAGGGGTACTGTCCGTTACGTTGCACTCAGGGTGACAGTTGCTGTCCCCACAGAACGTGTCCTCCAAGCTAGTGTACCTGGGTGAGGAGGGCCTCCCACCGGTGCTAGGGACATTTCCTGGGCCTCATCCACCCTCTTTCCAACTTGTCAGGTTCTCACATCAGAAACCCAGGTTAACAACTGGTTGTCGCCTTCTCTCAAGGCAAGCTCTCCTTGGGAGACAATTGGTGTGCTTCCTGACTTGAACCCTATCTCCCCCACGAAGCTCTGGCCTGGAATCAGGCATCGTTCGCTGTGCAGGGGTACAGACAAAAGAGAGAGCAGGTTCTTTGGGAAGCAGGGACAGGCAATAAAATGAATATGTGCACAGGCAAGGCAATATTGGATACTGAATATGAATGTTAAGTGTCACAGAGACAAAAGCCAGGTGAGGTGGTGAAGAGTAGCTGCTGGGCCTACTTTCAGTTGGGGAATCAGGGAAAACCTCCTGAGGAGCTGACGTTCAAGCTCAGGCCTCAGTGAAGATGTGGGCACAGGCCCTGGCCAGATAGCTCAGTTGATTAGAACATCATCCCAAGGTTTCAGGTTCGATCCCCAGTCAGGGCACGTAAAAGGATCAACCAGTGAACGCATCAGTAAGTAGAACAACAAATCGATGTTTTTTTCTCTCTCTTTCAAATCAATAAATAAAAAATTAAAAAAAATAAAAGATGTGGGCACAGCATACTGGGCACAGCAGAGACCCTCCCATGATAACGGCCAACGTAGCTGGAGCAGAGTTGGGGGCAGCCCCCAGGCAGGGACCCATTACAGATGGGTCTGCCAACACCCTCCAGCACGTGAGCTCTAAAGCCTCTTCCAGCGTCCGCCAGTCTCCAGTCCTGAATGAAGATTTAGGGAGCCCTCTGTGCCAAATGTGACTCCTCAGTTTGACAGTCTAGATTTTGTGACTGTCAATTTTGGATTTTCTTATTTTCATCCAAATTCTTATTCATTATTATCAGGAAAACAACAGTTTCTGACTTTCTTGTGGCCTTACCTCTTCATACCCTATATTTCACCTTGGTACAATCTTGTTCAGCTCACATTTGTTAAAAGAATATTCCCAGGTGATATTCCTGAGTGAAGAATAACACAATTATTGGTAAATACCTAATTGACATTTAGCATAAAAATGAAGCCAAAAGGTCGGGAAATGAAATCTTCTCATCAATTTTTTTTTTTTTTTTTTTTTACAGAATCTGGGCCTATCCCAGCCCACTACAAGTATAAAAGAGAAAGTCTAATTTTCCCTATTCATGTTTCTGTTGTTTCAAGCTCCTCCTCCTGTGGTAATTCCCCGAGGCAGCAAATGAAGCATTGTTGAGTCTTTGATGGGCCTTTCAATGGGCAATTACACGTTTTGTAGACAATAAATTTTGTCTGATTACATTCACTTATGAAAATGACCAAAAAACAATGAATCAAAATTTTTTTCTGTCTGGCTCCTTTAAGACAATCATCAGAGTCATAATAAATAGGATAGTAGGCCTGGAATCAGGAAACCTGGACCTGAGCCCAGCTCTTCTATGAGCCAGGAGGTGCAACCTTGAATAAATGATGCCACCTCTCGAAGCCTCTATGTTCTTATCTGTATAAAAGGGAAAGTAATAGGGCCCAATATCCTTCAGCTCAAAGTTGTTGGGGTAGGGAGGGACCGGCGTGTGTTGTAGAGGGGCACCTGCATGTTCCCAGGCATGTTTCCAGTCCTTAAGGTGGGGGTGGCATATACATTTGTTTTTATTATTCATCTTCAAACTGCTCAGGCACACTTTATGTATTTGTGATGTGTAGGATATATTTCACAATAAATTTCTAACATAGGCAGTAAATACTTGTTGACAGACTTGACAAAAAGTAAATGCAGTCCGCGTTTTCCTCTAGACCTCCTAGCAAACACAATAAACCTAGACAGGAGACAAAACAACTTCTCCCATCAAATCAAAACATGTTCTTTTAAAAAAAAGAGTTTAATTGAAAGAGTGAGAATTTTGAGTTAAACAAAAGGGCATACCATATAGCTCGGTACAGCTCCCTCCCACCCGGCCCTCCATTCATCCTCACTTGAGGCTTTTTATATTTCTCTCCAGAAACAGTCTGGGGAGCCAAAGAAAGAGAGAATCTTGAAAGCAGCAAGAGAGAAGATGCACATGGGCGCGTTCGTGTGTGCACCACTTTTATGTCAGCGGAAGTACATTATATGTGCTGCTCCGTGCTTTGCCTTTTTTCATTTATCTTGGAGAGCTTTCATTGTCAGCCTTACAGATTTAAATCCTTTGCTTTTCCACAGCATTTTTTGTGGGGCTATGCTGCACCTTATTAGTCTGTAGCTAATTTAACCAGACCTCACGGGTTAATACTTAGGTTGTTTTCAGTTGCTGCTCTCGCCCACATTTCTGCAACAACCGTCTTTATGCTTACATCTCCTCACACGTATGTGAGTGCATCTTTAGAGTAAATCCCAGAGTGTAATGGATGGATTAAAAGGTAGATCCATTTAAATTTTAGTGGCTATTGCCTAACTCCCTCCAAGGAGACAGAGGGTCCCTTTAGACTCCCGTCAGCAGGATGCAAGAGTGCTTCCTGCCTGACACACCTGCGCTATGTGCTCTGTTAGTCTTGTCTCTTACAAACCTAAGAGGTGAAAGTAGTATTTCATCATTTGGACTTATTTCTTTAACTCTAAGTGGAGATGAGGCATTCTCTTCTTTCTTTGAACTTCCAGTTTGGGTCCATTGCCCATTTTTCTTTTGGTTTCTTGTCCCTTTACATATTGCTGCCTTTTTTTTTTTTTTAAGGTTTCATTCATTTATTTTTTTAGAGAGAGTGGAAGGGAGAAAGAAAGAGAGGTAGAGAAACATCAATGGGCTGCCTCTCCAGCCTGCAGCCCAGGCATGCGCCCTGATTGGGAATCGAACCAACAATCTGTCTGTTTGCAGGCTGGTGCTCAATTCACTGACCCACACCAGCCAGAGCATACATATTGCTTCTTATTAGCTCTTTATATACAAGCCCTTTGCAGTTATTTTTCTAGGTTTGTGTTTCTCCTTTGTTATTGCTAGTAGTATTTTACCTCTTGCAGAAATTTTTAATTATTAGTCAAATGTATCCATTCTACCTCTCTCTATATATAGTAAGGGGGTTGTTTTGTTCCTAGAATAGTCTTTCTTATTTTAATGCCATTATAAATATTTTCCCAGCTTTTCATCTGGTATTTTTACTAGTTTCCTTTTTACTTTTACATTTTTGATCAATATCATTTAATTAACTTATTTAGTATAAGGAATGAAGTAGGGATTCAGCCTTTATTTTCTCTCAGGGTGTCTACTCTATTTGATAACTAATACGTTTCCTCCCCATAATTTTGAAATGCCACATTTTGGGGGGTCTAAAAATTGCTGTATCTACAGACTAAAAATTCACGGATGGTAAATTGATAAATTAACCAAGTCCTTTTTGTACATTCAAGGAACCATCAAAACAACAGCATAGAATGTGCAAATCACATGCTGGGCTCTGTTCTAAGCTTGCTGCATGTATTTGCTCATTTAGTCCACGTAACCATGCTAGGAGGTGGGTGCTATGAGCTTGACTTACAGTCAGGACACTGAAGCACAGAGACGTGCAGTAAGTTGCCCAAGGTCACGCTGCTCTGAATGGCGTGGTGGTTTGAACACAGGTAGTTTGGCTTTAGAATCCATCCTTCTATGCACATAGTCTACTGCCTCCATGAAATGGAAAACATTTTGTGTGTGCTTCCTCCATGCGAGGCACTGTTCTAAGACCTTCACAGACCACAATTTTATTTACTCTTCACAGCACTCCATCAGCAGTCAGCACAACTACACTCTCCATTTTACAGATGAGCAAACTGAAGCAGAGTATAACTAGAGGTCAGACACAGAGGGAGGGGAGAGCAGCGTGAGGGGCGTCCAGAGGAAGAGGAATTTCGCTCTGTCTTTAGAGCAGCAAAGAGTCACAGAAGTGTTTGAATGAGGACTGACCCCCTCGGTTTGGGTTTCTGTGTAGCTCACTAGGCTGTGGAGGATGGGTGGGGCGGCGGCTGCAAGTGGGATGTGGGGGAACCAGCTATCCGGCCAAAACCACGCTGCGATGACCCTCTCCACCACCACAGGTGGTCAACAGCCCTGGGTGGGCAGCATCCACACGGCATGCGGACCACTTCCCTCGGGGGCCAGGGACAGAGCTCAGGACAGGTGTTCATGTTATTTACATTTTCAGAGAAAACCGAAGTGTCAAGCGGTTAAGTACCTTGTCCCTACCCACCCAGCTAGTGAGTGCTTGCTCCCGACCGCTAAGCCTATAGACCCTCTTGAGTTAAGCTCACAGATTGAGACCATTAGACGCAGGGGAGCCGGCTCAGTACAGCCTTGAAAGTTCAATTCAGCAATTCCTTCACCATCCTCTGTCTTCTCAGAATTTGACAGAAATCAAGGCGATTCTGCTGACATTGTTGATAGATGAGCATCTGATATCAAATATTTTCAGATCCTTTAAAGGTTTCTTTTCTGTCTTCGGTTAACTTTCCCTTCGACTTCTGCATATTCACCCAAAGTTACTTTGTGAATTTTTATAATCGCTTTTCTCCTTGCCCAAACAAAAGGCAAGGTCAGGGCCCTTGGCCCACTGTGCTGCTGCTGACCCCAGCCTTTCTCCCCGCAGATCCGAGTGATGGTGGACCTGTGCAACAGCACCAAGGGGATCTGCCTCACAGGTAGGCCGGCCGCGCACGGGGCGCGCAGGCGCTCGCCAGCGGGCGGGGGCCGAATGAACACCTTGTAACACTTCAGGTTATAAAAATACATGTGGTTTACCTTTACTGGATGTTTTTAATGGGATAAAAAGTAATTTTAACAATAATATTTTTGGTATTGCCATAGAAACATAGCCATGAAAAATAACAAGGTCTTGGGGGATTCGAAACCTGTGGTATCTTGAACCGGTGCCATAGATGTTTCCCTATTCCAGTTAGTTTTTTAAAGGGAAAAGAAAGAAAGGAAAAAGACTTTGCTAAGTGGTAGAGTTCTCTTACCAGAAGTAATTATTTCCCTTCATGATATATGATGCATAGAGCATGAATGGGAAGCTCTAGAAGCAAGCTGCTAATTAGTCAAGGAAACACTTTTTATGAAGAATGGCCCGTCTGGTGCCTACTGTGTGCTAGGTGGGACTGGCAGTTGGTCACACGCTGACCGCCTCTACTCAGTGATTCAAGGACAAAGAGACAGGAGAGAGGGAATCCACGTCAAGGCAGAGCAAGCCTTGGGACAAGGAATGGCTGATGGCTGGGGCAGGGGAGGAGGAGAGGGGTTTTAATATGCTTGTTTACCGCTGAGTCTGACAGAGTCGTGCATCTCACCTGAGGGGAGGACCGCCCGCCCCCTGACTTCCGAAGCTGGGAGCGAGGAATTCGTGTGTACCCCCCGCCCCACCATGGGCCTATAGAGCCTGATGCCAGACATTGCATTTGCTGCCTCTCCGAAGACAGTATAGCACCCTGAGGAAAAAGAAAAAATTATTTTTCAATTAAAAGTCTATTATGGAGCCCTGGTCAGGTGGCCCAGCTGGTTGGAGCACTGTCCGGGTCACGGCACATACCTATGTTGCAGGTTGGATCCCCAGTCAGGGCACATGCAGGAGGCAACTGATTGATGTTTCCCTCTCACATTAATGTTTCTCTCCCTCTCTCTCTCTCCATCCCCCCTTCTCTCCTTCCCCCTCTCTTCTTCCCTCCCCCTTTCTTTCTCTCTAAAAAATCAGTAGAAATATCCTCAGGTGAGGATTTAAAAAAATAAGTCTAATTTGGAATAAGTACATACTCTCATAAACTTGACAATATAACCCGAGACTATGTCGCCTTCTGAAGCTTTGTTGGGCCACCTCAGCCTATGGCCCCAGGCTCTGGGGAGGCCTCACTCACACTTCACTCGCACCCAGGGCTGCACTGGCGGAGGCTGAAAACCCCCGCACGGTGTCTGTTGAGTAGTAAGAAGCTTCCCCGCTTTCGGCAGTATTCTCCCCGGTACCTCACGTTACCCGTGTGCAGTAGGTGCTCAGTAGGAGTTTGTCAAGTGACTAGATCTGGGGTTTGTGTGAGTGATTAAATGGGGGTGGTGGGTTGGTGAGAAAGGCATTTCCCCGGGGGACCCTGAGTCCAAGCCTGACTCCCATTCACTTACTTTGGCCTCAGAGAGGAAAGCTGTGATCCTGTGGTTTCTTGGTAAGTGCTAATTGAATTACTCAGTCACATTTCAGCCCTCACAGAAAATTAAGTATCTTCAGAACAGGTTGGTCCTTTATTCTGAAACTCTTGTGGCTTAAGCACCTTTCTCCCATCTCTCGAAGTCCCTTTTTAGAGTTCCCATGCGTGGCAGTAATGAGCGCTAGAGAAATGCTCAGATGGATGGATTATAGACACAAAAGCCCTGTTGAGAGGCACAGGAAAAGCCTCTTCCTTTTTTATTTTTACAGTGATAGAAGGAGAGCCATACTGTGCAGTGAATGTGTGATGGACCCATTGAGACCACTTAGGGGAGAGTGATAGCAGGCGGGGGACTGCTTCCGTTCTGGAGGTTATTCTTTGGCACTTCAAAATGCTTTTCAAAAGCCAGCACCTTCTCCTTTCATACATACCAGCTTGAAATCGAGCCTCTTTTTACACAGAAAGTTCTTCCATTAAAACTTCGGTGTGAAAAGTACAAGTTACAAAGTGAGATGATGCCTTGGGATAGGCCAGGCTGCCTGGGTTGGGGGAGGGAAGGAGACAGGACTGAACCGGCAGCGTCAGGGGGAGGTGAGGGAGCTTGGGCCAGAGCCCCAGGGAGGTGCAGGCGGAAAGGGTTGCCGGGGCAGGCCCTGGGCCAGGGCCTAAGAACAAGATCTGGCTTTACTCTGGGTCCATTTTTTTAAAAAGCAGGGACTTGTGACCTGAGGCTAGTCCAGCTGTGACGGTGGGACCACATCCCTATTCCTTTTCCTGGACTTAGCTGTGGTTGCTATGGGGACAAGGACAGATAGCGTGTAGTTTTGTGCAGCCTGTGACATCTCAGGTGGGGACGAGGGCAATTCACTGGCTACACTGCTCAGTGGGTTTTGCTGGCGCAGTTGGTCAAACCACACAGGCTTTTCCGGATGCACTGTACCCCTGAGCTGAGGTTTCCTCAGAGCCCCAGAGGCACATCTTCTGGGCGAGCAGGTGCCCTGAAGAAGGCAGGTTCTTGGACTGTTCTTCACTCCCAGTGGCCTCCCACTACAGACTTGCTGTAAATCTCTAAGCCATCGCATTGCGGAACTGCTTGTCAGGGTGGTGTCTCCATCTCCTGGCAGCCAAGTGACTCCAACCCCGCCACAGCACTTGTCACTACTCTTTATCCTATATCTGAGCAGACATTAATAATGGATCACAGTTGCCGCTGGGCATGACCTCATGCCATTCTCTTCTGGCGCTCCAGAAAGCTGCACCAACTAACTAGAACTGGCACTCGAAATAAAACCTATTTGCCCATCCCTACTCTAATTTTTTAAGGTTGCCATGTCCATAGTTTAAAGTGGAAATGCACCAGATAAATGGGATTGGATCAAAGCTGCAGTTTATTTTTTATGAATTTTTATTGAATGTATTCGGGTGACATTGGTTAAGAAAATTATGTAGATTTCACGGGTACCATTCTGTAACACAAAGCCACCGTTTAATGGGAGTGTGTGAGGAACGATGCCTTTCCGAGTCAAGTGCCTTAGCACTGGCCCAGTAGCTGGTGGCGGGGTGGCTCCAGAGGATGCACCAGCACTCACGGGGCGGGAACTGAAACCTCAAAGCTGTAGCCAGTGCAACTTTTGGTAAACGGGTGGACAGGTCATTCCCAGCTACTGCAGCTGCTTATGTTTCATTCAACAGGCCTCCCTGAGCGAACTAGCTGGTTGTTAGATTCAGCTCCCAGTGTGAGAGCTTGGGCCCTCTCAGACCGTCCCTTAAGGAGAACCAGGCATGTAAGACGCCCAGAGGGAAGGGGAGACCATGCCTCCTCCGGCCAGGGCTCCTGCCTGGCCCTGCAGCTGTGGCTGGCGTGAGCCCTGAGCCCCCGGAGTGCTTGCTGGGGTAAGAAGAGGAAGGATCAGGACTCCAGACCTCAGCTGCCGGGTGTGCTCCGGGCCTGGCAGTGCCAGGTTTATGAAGTTGCATCTTTCCCTAGCTCTTCCTGAAGCAGCAGAAGCAGATCTCACTTTCTAAAATGTTGCTATTTGAGGATTTTTTGGCTTCTTTTCCCGTTGTATCAGCAAGCCTTTGGGAAATGTGCAGCCACTTTCTCTGTGATCATCGCTGTGCTAAGCAGGTGCCCTGGGTCATGCAACACCTGCTCTGACACCATCCCAGGGCGGAAGGGGGAGCCAATAATTAGAGACAAGCACCTCCAAATCATAACCGTGAGATTTGGAATGACCGTGGCAGGAGGAACTAGGGGGGCAGGCTCTCCAGGGGCCCAGAGCTTTAGCCACTGACCAGTGCCTGCCCTGGAAGACAGGGACACAGAGGCTGCTTCTTCACAAGGGTAACCGCAGAGAGACTGGGGGGAGGGGACGGCAGCCAGGCCAGCGGGGGCGGGGGGGGGGGGGGGCGGGGGGCTCACCGCCACCAGGGACCCACACAGCTCCTCCCAGTCTGTCGGACTCTCTTCTCCTTGCTTCTCTCTACTTCACACTCTTCTCTCTGAAGACTGGCCTTCCCAGCCCCCCGCCCCGTGCAAAGCCATTCGCAGACCTGTAGTATACAAGCTACGCACATAGTGGGTCAATTTTACATTTTAAGGGGAAAAATATCTAAGGGGCTGAGCTCCTATCAAGCATCCAGCCAGTTCTAATGGACTCCGCCCAGGAGAGTGGGGTGGGATGGTCAGACCAGCCGCGTCCCTCGTCCCTCGCAGGGCCCAGTGCACAATGAAAATGCGGGGGCTCTCGTTTCAAAAGCAGGAAAAAGGCTTTCCTCCTTTCTCCCACGGTCTCGCTTGCAACCTGCTACGGTGGGGCTTTTTCATTTGCTGTTTAATATTGGGCTGTCTGAGGCACGGGTTACTCACCTAGTGAGTGCAGACCCTTCCGGGCACAGGGGCCCCACGCTGCGGCCCAGGCACGCGGGGCGCACCCCAGCGCCAGCCTTGCCTGCGTGCGTGCCCGGCGCCCCCTGGGATGGAAGGTGGCCGCAGTCACTGACGGGACGGGGAGTGGGCAGAAACCTGCCCTGGGGCGGCAGCGGGGTGGGGAAGCACCACACACGCACCGAGGCTCCCAGTCCCTGGACCTTGCTTCATCGTCCCATCGGACTTCATATCCAAAACACAAATTCAAAGATAAAACTGTTAAGAATTTCTGAATGGCAACCACAGAGCACTATACGCAAGCACAAGGCCCCTTCTGAAGGGGTCCCTGCCAGCTGCTCTGGTGGCAGGCCCAGCAAACCAGCCCCGGGACGGTATTGGCAGGAGCGTCGCTGTCCACAGGCATCCTTAGCGGGTCTGTAGTTCAGAACGGGGAGGCTCAGGAGCTGAGAAACACCCTGGGAAACTGTCTAAATGCCCAGTTGGCACATATATGAGGTGACATTTGACATTATTATGATGCCGCAAATGCAGGGCTTCTTCCAGCTGTAAGGAACCCTTGGGCAGCTCCGTTGGCATCCTGAGAAGACAGTGGGACAGAGGCTTGCCGTCACTATGGCACCCTCCTCTGAGCTCTTTGGAACTGTCTGTGATCCTCTCTCTTCTGAAATTCTCTTCTCCAATAGCTTCAGGGCACAGGGCCTGCTGGATTCTCCCTCCCCTCCCCCTCCCCGTATCCCATGTCTGCGGATCACTCCCTCTCTTTCCTGGTACCTCTTCTATCACCGGCCTCCCCGCCACCCCTCTGAACCCCAAAATTTGGTTGCCCAGGCATTTTACTTTACCCTCAAGACTAACAACTCTCAACCTTCCTAGAGTCAGGGACCCCTTCAAGGATCTGCTGACAGTGACTGATTCTTTTCCCAGAAAATTTTCACACCAGGTAGGAGGCGAGAAGGAACCCAGGACCACCTGCAGCCCAGTCTCCTGGCATGCCTGGTAACAATGCAGGTTCCTGGGCCTCTGTATCCAAACTGAATTAGAATCTCCAGATGGGACCAGGTAGCTGCATTGTAACAAGCATTCCAGGTGATTCTGTGGACTCAAATGGCTAAGCACTGTAGCCACAGAGTGTCCATGGACCTCTGCCAGGAAATCCTAATCTAAACACCACTCCGGTGATAGCCTTGGCCATGGCTAACGTGTCCTGAGTACAGAGCTCCAGCCGGGACCTGTCCCCAGTAGACCACTGCAGGAGAGTGGTTGTGAGACTGTCCCAGGAGCTTTGAAGCCTATGACATACAGTTGATTCTTTCTTGTTTACCTTTTTTTCCCTACCAGTCTGCACATCTGAATTTGGCTCCATCTGCAGCTGGGAACAATGACTGACTGATCTCTTTGTCAGCGGCCCACATCACCCCCTTACCAGGCAGTGGCTGCATGCACCATCTTGTGCTAAAATCATATAGCCACAGGCTACGCTAATCCTGCAAAATCTGGTGCCATTTTCAGCAGATCATTTTTGCCCAAAATAGGACTATATGTATTGAAAGCACACCTTCAAACATGTATTCTTCCATGAGTTCCCATGTATGTAAAATAGCCTCTCTCTGTTAATATCCTAGGCCTTCTTTGCCTCCTACCTTATCAGATGCGGGGCCCTGCTCATTCTTCTGCTGAAATACCTTTGGAGTTTCTAGCTTTCTCTGCAACTCTACAGTCACCAACCGCATTTATCCATAATCTTGCCACTAATTTTAACTACAAAGACCCTCTGGCTATGTTCTCCCCACCCTCTCTTTTCCCTCTTTCTTTCTCTCATCTTATTCTCAAGTTCTCTTCAACTTCCACCTTCAGGGAAGGTCTCAAGTGCAGACTTCACGGTGTTGCCAGCCCCCTTAAGAAAGTACTGTAGCTCCCTCCCACCTCACAGGTCCCGCCTACACCTCCGCCTGGCATTCAAGTGCCGCGCCCACACCTGTCCCACCAAGCACTTCCTCAGCCTCAAGCGCACACACCAGCTTGATCCATCTCCTGCCTTTCTCACCCTGAGTCATGCAGGCTCCCACCTCTGTAGTTCTGCTCCTGCTGGTCCCCTTGGTGGGATGCCCCGCCCTCACGGCTCACCTCGCTGCAGGCCTCCGCAGGCAGCCGTGTGCCCCACCGCCCCGGCCCCGGTACCCCAGCTGGGGGTTTGCTCCTCTGTCTCTCCCCCATATTTTGTTGGGATTTCAAAGTGCCCACCTTCCCCAGGTAGGCTGTAAATATAACAGACACAGGGACCAAGATTTCTGCTTCTTAGCAAATTTTGGTGCACGTAGTAAGTGCTTAGTAAGTGATGATTTTTCTGTAAGGTCCCAAGCTTGGGTTTATGGATAGACCTTTCCACTGCAGCGTTGGTAGTCATTACATGTAGCCTGGAGAAACAAAAGGACCTTCTCTGCTCTTACAGCCTCATCAGCTTGTCTGAATGCTCAAACAGAATAATTGATAGGACTCTCCTATTTGTGGAAGCAAAATCTTTTTTGTTAGATTATATGTAAATGATTGATTCATCTGAACCCCCTTAGATTTTCTGGGTGGTTGCATGCTAAGGAAAGCATCTGTTCGCTGATCTGGGCCCTCAGATTTTCCTCAGGCTATTTCATGCAACAATGTAGAGACCTGGCAAACCAGCCTCCACCATCACTTCCCCTCGGCGGCGCGGAGGAGACAGCTGGCTGCACGGAAGCGCTTGGGACTCCCTCGTGGCAGCCAGACCTCAGCCCTGCGACGGCAGCCCGCCACTGCGACCCTCACCTGTGCCAAGGCCGCACTAGTGCCTGCCTGTATTGTCACCCAGCCTCATTTAATTAAGTTGTCGCTTGAGAGATGACTAATTTCTGAATCCATTAAATTATTCCTGGTCCATTAAAACTTAAACAGAAGTCGTTTTGACTGGCAAATGGATCTGTGTTGAATTGATTTGAAGAATCTTTTCAGCAAACATACTGAGTTCTGAGTAAAAGGAATGGAGCGGTTCCACGCCAGTACATTTTAAGAGGGGGAAGGTGTTTTTTGGGTGTGGAGCAGGCTTTTCTTTCACCTATAATCATCTACATTTCTTTTTCTATTGTAGGACCACCTGGCCCACCAGGTAAGAACCCATGGGTTTTCCTGGTTCGTAGAGGGGAATATGGGTGGCTGTCTCCCCAGAATCACTCGGAAGGGACTGAGGTGGGGAAGGGGGAATAGTTGAGGGGCGGCAGGGCTATCACTGTGTCCCCTCCCTCTCTACTCCGAAGGGAGCTCCCCTGCCCCTCCCACTTGAGGACCCGCCATCACCATTCCCCACCTGTCTGCTTCAGCCAGGGCAGCACAGGTAGAGAGGGAAGGGGAGAAAGAAAAGGGTTGACGCGTGCCCAGTTTCACTGGCCTAAGGAAACCGCCTTAACTTCAGTGAAGAGATTTTTAAGAAATGTCCCTGTTTCCTGTGTTCTGACGCAGGACCTCCAGGAGTTGGTGGGTTACCAGGACATAACGGATCGGATGGACAGCCTGGTCCCCAGGGCCCAAAAGGCGAAAAAGGAGCAAATGGAAAAAGAGGGAAAATGGGTATTTTGGCAACTCTTTCACTGTTTTCCTTGTTGCTTGTCTCTGTTACTGCACTTTGAACGGGCTGAAGTGTGTGCAGTGGCTGTAATATGTTGCCCCTTTGCATGCAAGGCAGGTTCAGTGCTTGCCTGGAAGTTGCTGTGCTTCAGGCCAGGGCATTCTTTCTGGTACCGACAACGGTTCAGCTGCAACTGGAGAAGCAGTCTCCCCGGGAACTGACGGCCCTGACGCAGACTGACAGGTGGAAGGGGCGGGAGCCGGAAGGGGCGGGAAGGCTGTGGGCTGTAGGATGGCTGGATGTGCCACGTCCGAGTCCCTCCAAGGGTCAGCTCCTGCCTGGCTCTCTCACTGCCTTCTCCTGCCCAGAAACCGCCTGCGTTTGATTGGAACTCAGCTGAGTGAAGTCAGCCCCCAGGTTTCCTGGCTAAAGGAATAGCTGGAATGGTTCGAATAAAATGGCAGCATCCAGGCCTCCCTGAGGCCAGCACTGGGTTGTCAGGGTCCCCTGTCCAGGGGCCACTGGATGGTTACAAAGGTGTGGTTGGCATCTCTGAGAGACCCCCTCTGCCCTGCTGTGAGCAGCAACATTGCCATCTCCTGAACAACGGTGCGGGAGCCCCAAAGTGTCAGCTATGTCCAGGGACCAGAGGAGCAGGGGCTTGCGCAGGCCTGGCAGGGGGCTGGGGCGTGCGCCGGGGCGGGTTCTAAAGGGCTCTGAGGCCCAGTCCTGGAGAGTCAAGGAGAAGGCCTGGGCAGACTCGCTGACGAAACCTGGCACATGCCTGGTGGCCACTGGCGTGCAGGGCATAGAGAATGCTCAGGAATTCTAGGAAGACCTGGTGCTCAGCCACTGAGTGGAGGCTCCATCACACCCTCTTGTTTATTTTCATCCTCTTGGCTCTGCTACTCTAAGTTACTTGCACAGGCCCTGGGCTAGAAGAACTACTAGGAAATCCTTCCAGACAGCACAGTAACCCCGTCTAGCACACCCTGCTCTTATTCCCATGGCAACTTAAGCGAGAGCCAGTGGAGAGCGGGGAAATCGTGGAGGGGCTCTGCCACTTGGCAAAACGTACATGCTCATGTTCCAGGGGCCAGCCTCTGCGGACGTGTGCAGCATGGTCCCAGTCAGCTCGGTCCCCAGAAGGCCAGCAATTACAGCCAGAATTACGGAGCAGTTAGAGGTCGTTACGTGTTGGATGGTAATTGTAATTATAAATGGACATCGGTGTTGAATAATGATGACCGTCCTTGTGCAGACGTTTGGTTTACCCCGGGCAGCCCCCCAAAATGTGACCCAGTTGTAAGGATTCTGCGCTGAGTATTATGAGGGGCAGGAGCCACAGTGCTAGCGCTGGGAGCGGGGCAGGTAGGAAGGTGTGGTTTTCCAGGATAGGTAGAGGTAGGTCTCTGGCCCTGCAGAAAGGTGCTTGGTGTGCAGCCCGCCACTCAGTGAGGGCAGAAAACAAAAAGTTCACCCATTTAGGTATTGCTTATTTATGTGGCACATACTGATCTAGAGGGGGAGATCCAGAAATGAAAAAGCTGACAAAATCCCTGCCTTCATAAAACTTATATTCTAATCTGGGAAGATGAACACTAAACAAGATAAATAAGTATATATATTGTCTGTTACATGGTGCTAAGGGCTAAAGAGAAAAAATAGAGCCAGGAGAGGAGGTGGGAAGTGCGTAGGGGTGGAGCGTGACTATAGAGCGGGGAGCCACGTTAAGTCCCCCTGAAAAGGGACCTTTTAGCAAACACGTGGAGGAGGTGAGAGCACGAGTCCCCGGGGGATCTGGGGGAGGGGTTTCAGCCGAGCATGGAGGTCCAGCTTGCTCTCAGAGTCTAGGAAGCCACAGGGAAGCCAGTGTGGTCAGATGGAGAGGATGAGCGGTAAGAGCCAAATCAGGTTGGCCCCGGGCATTTGAAGAATTGTGGTTTGTACTCAGAGCGAGAGGCGGGATTTATAGCAGAGCAGAGACCTGCTCCGTCTCATTGGCAACCGGTCACCCTGCTGAAGGAGGCAGCAGGGCAGAGGGAGGAGGCTTAGAGGGCAATGGCAGAGGATGGATAAGAAGGTGCTGGATTCTGTTTATCTATGGAGATTGGCCAAATCCTCTTTTCCTGAAGATCCCATAGAAACGGCAGCAAAGGCACAGACCTTCCCAGGGAGGGAGGCCTCCTGAGGCCAGCAATGTGAGAACTTAGAACAAGAAGTTTCCATAAGGTTGAGGTTAGGGCTTGAGTCCCGAGGGCCCTGCAGGGAGTCCTTGCCCTAGGCCAGGGAAAGCGGACACTAACCACCCTTCTACAGCTATAAAGACAAAGCCTGTCTGAAGAGCCTGGCTCTATAGAAAGAGTTTGTTGAAAGTATTCTCAGCCCTGGGCCAGCTCAGACTCCAGCCCCACTGTCAGACTCCAGAGCAAGGGCTGTGGGGTCCCCGGTCCCCCTGTGAAAGGCCCAGGGCTGTGCTTTCCCTCCCCCTCCCTACCTGAGCCCCGGAATGAATCTCCACCCTACCCAACAGCCAACTTTCTTGCAGGGGGATCAGAGCATGCAGAGCCACAGCAGGGAAATGGCTTTATCCTGAGGGCAGTGAGAAGCCACTGAGGGGGTTCACATAGCAGACAGTGACGTGATCAGGTCTGCCTTTATAAAATACCACTGCGCCTGCTGCGCAAGAGCACACCGCTGCGCGAGAGCACACTGAAATAAGCACAGGAGATGGGCAAGAGTGGAGGCAGGGGTCCGTGCAGGAGCTTCTCAAAACGCAGGCGGAAGGGGTGGCGATGTGGGTATGGAGAGACAAATGGAGCGCACGTTTGGGAGTGAAATCAGCAGTCCAGGATGGCAGGTGGATGTACAGAGGGCAGGGAGGGAGGCACCCAGACGGACTCAGGGGCTTTCTGCCCTGTCTGACTGCTCTTCCCTAAGGAGGGAACCCTGCACTGACTCAGGTTCAAGGACATGGTCAGGAGCTCAGCGGCAGATGAGCTGAGACTGAGACATCAGGTTAGGAGATGCCAAGATGCCTTGGAGATGCAGGTCTGCCGTCAGAGGAGACCATGGGGCTAGGGTCTATCAGGGAGTATCAGAGACCACCGGCCTGTGGACATGGGCGCACAGAGAGCCCAGGCGCACGGAGAGCCTGGATGGAGCCCTGAGAAGCAGAGGCATCTGGTGACCCAGTAGAAGTGAGCCTCTGGGTGAGCCAAGGACAGCACTGAGCAGAAGAGGGTGGAAATATTTGTCAACACGTATTTACTGGATGGGTTCAAAATACTGCTGATGAAACAAAACAGATGGAGCCTCTATTCTGGAACTTTCCATCTAATTGTTAACAGTGAATGATCTAATACATCTAATCACAACATGAGATACTCATTTGAAGGAAAGAACAGCCTGTTATGAGATACACTAGCCTGATGAAATCAGAGTTTCAGTGCTATAGCTTAAGAGTTGTTTCCAGGAGATTGAAGCATGAAAGTTAACCCTCAGTTTCTGACCTTAGTCATGCTAAGCACAATGGAAGACTAGCATGGAGCCAGATCCTGATGCCTCGTCTTGACTTCTGGCTCTTCCATTTACTAGCTGTGTGTGGGGCAAGTTACTTAATCACTCTGTGCCATGGTTTCCTCATCTATATAATGGGGACAATAATAGTATCAAACTCATAGCATTGTTATGAAGATTAAATGAGTGTTTATGTGAGTGTGTATGTGTGTGTGTGTGTGTGTGTATACTCATACGTATAATGTATATGGCACTTAGAATAGAGCTTGACACGTGGTAAGTACTATATTAGTGTCAGCTATTTTTGTTTCCAAAAATTGGGAAGGAGAAACTTGGTTTTAGACCAAAAGGAAATCTAAGTGGAAATACCTATATTCATTTGAAAACGCTGACTTAGATTTGCAGAGAAGGACTGAACCTAAAAGAGACTTAAATGTTGTCATTTTGCAACAAGCATCTTCTATGAAGTTTGACATTCTGTTGCCGCAAAACCAAACATTTTCCTTCTCTCCATCTGTCTCACTTTCTCACTTAACAGTTAATGCTACAGTGCCTTCTCTAAAAATCAAATCTTCGTAAAAACAGAAATAAACACCCTCCTCCTTATTCATTTCAGTCTTGGGACTGGGTGTTGTTAACACCCTCCGGTCCCCTCCCCCGCCCCTCAGCCTGCGACAGACGGTCCTGCCCAAAATAAGCCGTCCTCCCTCACCCCGTGCTGTGAGGATGTCGGAGTTGACCCCTGCAACACGGCAGGCCTCCCCACTCTAAAGCTGGTAAGACAGTTTGTTTTGAGGAAGTGCCACGAGAAAGGAAAACAGCAAAGAGCCCTTAGGCAAGCAGGGCCTGGCCTTTCTCCTCTGGCAAACGCCCGGTCTCCAGTCGTGGGACAAACAGTGCCCGCGTCCAGGCGACACAGGGGACCGTGTGAGCACAGCTGAGTCAGGCAGGGTAGAAAGGGCCACACACGGGCCTTCTGACGGTGAAGGAGATTAGGTAGCAGTGCACTTCTGACACCAGGGCACGGCCAGGGAGATTTTATCAGCAGAGACAAAGGGAAACTTTGTCAGAGGCGGTGGTCACAACAGCACAAAGACAAAGCATTTTGTATACTGACAGAATGTCCTCCATTCTTTCTTTTCTTCAAAATTTTATTGGGGTGACATTGGTTAAATAGAATTATATAGGTTTCAGGTGTACAACTCTATAACACATCATCTGTATATTGTGTTGTATGTTCACCGCCCCAAGTCAGGTCTCCTTCCATCACCATTTATCCCCCCTTTACCCTCTTCTGCCTCCTCCACACACTTTTCCTCTGGTAACCGCCATCCTGTGGTCTTGTGCCTATGAGTTTTTGGGTGTTTTTGCTTAATCCCTTTACCTTTCTCACCCAGCACCCCCAACTCCCTTCCCTCTAACAGCTGTCAGTCTGTTCTCTGTATCTATGATTCTGTTTCTATTTTGTTTGTTAGTTTATTTTTGTTCATTAGAGTCCACATATAAGTGAAATCATGTGGTATTTGTCTTTCTCTGACTGGCCTATTTCACTTCATAATACTCTCCAAGTCTGTCCATGCTGCCACAAAAGGTAAGATTTCCTTCTTTTTAACCACTGAGTAGATTCCATGTGTAAATATACCACAGCTGTTTTATCCACTCATCTATTGATGGGCACTTGGGCTGCTTCCAAATCTTGGCCACTGTGAATAATGCTGCAATCATTATAGGGGTGCATACATTCTTTCCAATTAGCGTTTTAGATTTCTTCAGATATAGTCCCAGAAGTGGAATCACTGGGTAATAAGGCAATTCCATTTTTAATCTTTTGAGGAACCTCCATACTGTTTTCAACAGTGACTGCAACAGTCTGTGTTCCCATCAACGGTGCACTAGGGTTTCCTTTTCCAAATCTTCGCGAACACTTGTTTTTTGATTTATTGATGACAGCCATTCTGATAGGTGTGAGATGGTATCTCCTTGTGGTTTTAATTTGCATTTCTCTAACAACTAGTGACATTGCACATATTTTCATGTTCTACTGGTCAACTGTCTGTCATCTTTGGAGAAGTATCTATTCAGGTTCTTTGTCCATTTTTAATTGGATTGTTTGTGTGTTTAGTGTTGAGTTGTGTAAGTTCTTTATAAATTTTGGATATTAACCCTTTATCAAATATATCATTAGCGATTATGTTCTCACAAGACAACCCTGTCTTATTTTGTTGGTGGCTTCCTTTTCTGTGAAAAAACTTTTTTATTTTGATGTAGTCCCATTTGTTTATGTTTTCTTTTGTTTCACTTGACCAAAGAGATGTATTAGAAAGATACTGCTACGAGAAATGTCTAAGATTTTACTGCCTATTTTTTCTTCTAGGAATTTTATGGTTTTGAGTCTAACACTGAAGTCTTTAATCTATTTTGAGTTTATTCTTGTGTACGGTGCAAGGAGGTGGTCTGGTTTTTTGTTTTGGGGTTGTTTTTTTTTTTGCATATATCTGCCCAATTTTCTCAACACCATTTATTGAATAGGCTTTCTTTACCCCATTGTATGTTCTTGCCTCCTTTGTCTAATATTAATTGACCACAAAGGTGTGAGTTTGTTTATGGGCTCTCTATTCTATTCCATTGATTTATATGTCTGTTTTTATGCCAGCACCATGCTATTTTGATCACTATAGTCTTGTAGTATAATTTGATGTCAGGTAGCATGATTCCTCCAACTTTGTTCTTTTTTCTCAAGATTGCTGTGGCTATTCTGGGTCTTGTGGTTGCATGTGTTTTTGGAATATTTGTTCTAGTTCTGTGAAATATGCTGTTGGTATCTTGATAGGAATTGAATTGAATCTATAGATTGCTTTGCATAGTATGGACATTTCAATGATGTCAGTTCTTCCTATCCTTGATCACTTGAGCTTGGTGCTCCAGGAATGTGCCGTGTGCCCCCACCCTTTTTAAACAAAAGCTTAAAAATCATCATGCACACCCAGAAAATATCAAAATACACCTTTAAGCACAGGTCTTTAATATCTTTAGTTTAAACACCCACCTCCGTAGGGGCTGCCCTGCAATAGCTGCATTACAGTATGAACATTTTCCAGTTTCACTCATGACCTTTTAGAGAAAGGAAATTATAGGTGTAAGAAGATAGAATAAAAGAAATGAAGGGAAAATAGGGTGATGCAGAAAGGCTTTTTGTGACTAGAATAAATGCCTGAAAAAGAAAACCCTGAAGTAACAAGAAGATACCATTTCCCTGAGCTTTGCTAAATCTGGGCATGTGAAACCTTTAAATGGTATCAGTTATACTTGATGCATTCTGCTGACTGGACTCTATGGCAACCAGCTAGTCCTTTGTGTCCTACAGATAATGTGCCAAATTGCCCATTTAAAATACTGACAAAAGAACGTCTTCTCATGCAGAGGTCCCCAATTAAGGGCTCCGTTAAGTGAGCAAATCACCTTCCAGCGAGATGTCCTGATGGGGCAGGAATGGCTCAGACCAATGGGTTTCCATACTGTTGTGAGAGATGTATCATGAGCCACGCCCCACCCAAGAGGCATGATTTTCCCTGTGTTACTGAATCCATGGCAGAGCAAATGCTGACAATGGGTGCTGGGGGGTGGGGGCGCTTTTTCTCTTCTTCACATTCTCTTCTATTGTGTCACAGCTTCTCCATCCATACACGACCCCCGTCCCCCTCCCCCCCCCCCGCCCCGATCACCACTAGCAGGGAACCCAAACCTCTGACTCCCAGCTACAGCTGCATTTCACCGTTTTCACTGAGACTTTTTTTATGGTTGGCTGAACTCTAGCGAATGTTTCTTTATTCACTCCATTTTCTATTAGTGATCAAGGTTCTTTCAGACACTGCTGTCTTCCTTGGGATGGTCTGTGTAGAGTCCCTGGAGTATGGAAGAGCAGAAACCATTCCGAATGCTTACCACTCCCCTGGCATAAAGGAAAAGCACTGCGAGCTCCAGATTTACTTTTTAGGGAATAACCGCTTTCAGTGGCAGTGCCGAGTATCCGAGTACGATCTCTGATGGGATGCGATACGAATGCAGCAGCCTCCCCACTGCTGAAGAGCCAATTGGGTAGCACAGAGAGGCTTTTAGGATTGGATGGAGAGGTGATCCAACTGGCCTCTCAGGTGCCTTCCAAACTGGAATTCCATGATTCCCTTGGGACAGTTAGTTGTATTGACTCCTCTGGCACTAGCAGGCAGTGAGGGTGGGGCAGTCCAGGTTTGATTTTACATCTGGAGGGAGGATTACTGTAACACCGGAAGGATGACCATTAGAGAGTGGGGACCGTCCCAGCTGATGGGGCACAGGAGAGGGGCAAATGGGCAGTCACTTAGCCAGAGCCTGTAAGAAGAGGCGTGGGGACGGACAGGGACGTTAGAAAAGGCAGTGGATCCTGAGCTCGCTTAGTGACAGACTTTGAGAGGAATCAAAGTTTTGTTTGCTGTAAAACATGCCTCTGGCTCTTTCCTGTTGCTCAAAATCTCTGCCACTTTGAATATCTCTATTGAGCAATATTTCCAGGAGGCTGTCATCAAAATGAACAGAAGGCTCCCTGCAATAGAAGATCATGTGAATTGATCCATATCTGGTGATAACGTTGCACAGTGCTAGGCAATTGCTTCCCCTCGCAGGGCCCTTATGAGGTGGAGTAGCTCTTTTATAGATTTCTGGCAGTTTTCTACATAAGCAATCATGTCACCTGCAAATAAAGATAATTTTAATGCATCCTTTCCAACATGTCTGCCTTTTATTCCTTTTCCCTTTCTTTTTCACACTGGCTAGTATCTCCAGCAGAGTGTGAAATGGAAGTGATAGTGCAGATACCTTGTCCTGTTCCTGATGCCATAAGGGGAAAGCACTTAGGTTCTTCATTAGGAATGACACGAGCTATAGGTTTTTCATAGATGCCCTTTCTCAGGTTGAGGAAGTTGCCTCTATACCTAGTCTGATGAGAATTTTTGAAAGAACAGGTGCTAAATGTTATGAAATTCCTTTTCTGCACCCATTGAGATGACCATATGACTTTCTCTTAAGTTGTTAATTTGCTGCATCACCTTGACTGAATGATCCAAATTTTGGACTCTGTTCTGAAGTGCAGTTAGACTACTTGCAGTTCAGTCTAACCCTTTCAAAGCTTGCTTTTAAGCATTGTTATGATGGACCCATGGCAGCCTTGAATCTCAGGCAAATTAAGACATTTCCAAGGACTCTTACCCACTATCCTGTCACTTTCTGAGATCGCTCCACCTTGACTGGTGGGAACGAGCACTTTCCCTGGCAGGCGTGAGGAGCTGCGCTTTCTGCCCTTCCTTTTCCCTGTCCTGCATTCTGTGCAGGTCATTACTCAGCCAAAGACTCAAGTTCTGAAGATCCCCGACTCTTTCTGCACATCTACCTCCTCTCTCACAGTCTATCTCAAATTCTAGCTGCCTCTGTGTCCCCAGACTGTTGTTTTTTATCTCTTCACCATAACAAAGTTGCCAGACTCTGTTCGGGGTCCCGCTCCCTGTGCTGCTACCTGGAAACGACCCCTTGCCACGACCTCTGGAAACAAGGAGAGCTGTGCCGGTCAGATGAACCCCATTTGCTTCCTTTCTCCGCGGGACCGGAAACCTGCACCTCCCATAGAGCAGCGTGGAGATCGGTCACAGCACACACCTCGACCGTTCCTAGCCGGGGGGTGGCAGGGCTGCAAGTCCTATCGTGATGGCTCCCCTGGAGCAAAGGCAGAAATTTCACCCACTGCAACTTTTTCACGCTGTAACCATCCATCTTAATGTCTCTCCGAAAGCAACTTTCCTTGTTTTGCTCCTTCGCGTGAAAGCGTGCTGCATCGGAATGCCACAGAAAGGGACATTGGTGACAGAGTCGGAAGATCTTTGCTGCTTGCTCAGCAGCATCAGTTATACCCATTGTTGGCCTTAGTTCCAGTTTCTAAAAATGAGAGTAAGGGTAAGTCCCCAGCCTCTACTCCAATACGTTGTGAAGAATCAACCAAATAATGCAGATGGCACCACCCACTGTTCCAGCGCCAAGTCAGCCCCTCACGGTGCTCCATCCAACCTGCACAGGCGGATCAGACTTCTGATCCGGCCTTACCTTTCTACTCTTCTTGTGGCTGTCCCTCTTGTGGTTCAGTTGCCTCTTCAGCCTGTTATTGCAATCAAGTGTCTCTAAAAGTATTCCATCAGAGCCACCCGGAAATATCCCTCTTTAATGACGGCCACAATGCTGTCCTAAAGTGGCTGTATGGGTTAGCTATTTGGATTTTGAAGCTTCTTCACTTTTAAAGTATATAGTATGATATCACAAAGTAGTGTGTCAGAACTCCTTGCACAGCAGGCTAATATCTCATTGTTTTTCTCAGGGTTACCTGGAGCCACAGGAATGCCAGGGCAGAAGGGGGACCCTGGTGAACTCGGCTTGACCGGAAACGAGGGCCCAGCAGGGCAGAAGGGTGAAAAGGGGGACAAGGGGGACGTGTCCAATGATGTGCTCCCCGCAGGTAAGAGGCTGGCGCTTGGGCCCTCCCCCAGGGTGAACAGGCCCAGAGACCTGCCTGGGCTTTAACGAACAAAGGGCTGCTCTGGGTCCTCTCTCCTTGTTCGCCTTCCGTGGCCATCTGTTTCGCAGCACGTTTTAGGACTCTGTGCTTTCAAAGAGGAGAAGACTGTGCATGTTACCCCAGTGCTGGCAAGACCAAACCTGGGGTCTAAGCAGAAGAAGGTTAAGTAATTCAGGCCTAAACATAGTGGTTGGATTAAATTCGGGTGAAGGAAGCTTCCTTTTTCCAAATGTCTATTAAATCCAGCACAATTGAAAATCAAACGCGTCAGCAAGCAATTTAACATACCCCGGAGAGCAACTGACGGACAGCACAGGCATTTTCTTTGCGGTCAAGACAGGACCATCCCCAGGCCCTTATCCTAAGCCTTTGAGGTGGAGAATTGGGGCAAACACAGTTGCTGATTTCATGTTCCGGTTTTCAGCCCAGATTAAAAGCAGATAATGAGTGTCTCTGGGGAAGAGATGGAGAAGCAGTGAGCCACAGAAAGACAATCACGTAGTGGAAAGAGTAGATGACAGTTGATGGTCACAGGGCAAAGAATTTTAAAAGCCCTATACTTTGGAGACCATTTATATCATCAAAACATGACTATCCTATTAATGTATTCAGTAAACATCTGTTAAATATCAAAGAGAAGCATTTAGGAATTGGGGGCTTTGTTAAGAGCTGAGGCTATGAATATGAAAATGAGTAAAAGACATGACATCTGTCCTTAAGAGGCGAAGATGATGATGTTCAGAATAATGATCCTGAGTCATTTGCCCGTTCATCCATTGAAAATTTACTGAGCACCTGCTATTTGCCAGACGCTGTGCTAAAGCCAAAGCATCGAGGCCAGATCAAATTATATTTAGCAAGCTTTGTTTCATAAACAGGGGCGGATGCTCTGCAAAATGCACAAAATTTAAGAAGTGTTCTGACAGGGTAACATATGTGAGTATGCTTTGAAAATATAAGATCATGTTACACTTCAGTTACATGGGAAGTCAATACATCCAGAATGCAGCCTTCCCCTATACTGCCAAGCAAGGGAAGGCTGATGACAAACCACTCAGAAAAGCAGCCTCCCTGAGACTACTCCAGCTCCAGAGGCCTTGGCCAAGCTGAGGGTGTCCTCCGGTCAGAGCGGAGAAGGCGTCGTAGGGCTGGTCACGTCCGTCCTGCCCGCAGATCCCTGCCTCTTCCAGAGTGACCCCTGCTTGCCCACTCTCAAGAGACTGAAAAGGCTTATTTGGTCTGACTGGGAAGAGGCAGTGAAGCAGACGTTAGATCACCAGTGTCGCCTTGGACAGGTGGGTAGAACCAAAGGGCTGAACGGCCCAGCCTGACGGCATCCCTATGAGAGCTCCAGAACCAACGGCCCCAGCAGAGGCCTGCATCCACATTGGCCACTGGAAGTTTGGGGAATGGCTGCCTTCAGGTGTGGAGGGGTTCTGGCTCAGACACTCACTCCAGAGACCTCAGTCATTCTCAAGAGGCCATTCTCAAGGGAGCGTGAGGCTCAACTTGGAGATGAAGAAACAGACTCAGCAGGGCTATGCTGCCCACTCAAGGTCTCAGAGCTGGACAGGACCTCCTTATTTCCTCTACCACACCGAGCAGTGCTTCTCATTCCTGGCTGCAGAGTAGGAAACTTTAAAAAATACAGATGAATAAAGACAGTCACAGGGATATAAAGAACAGCATAGAGAACATAGTCAATCATATTTTAATAACTGTATGGTATTTGATGGGCACTAGACTTATCAGGGTGATCACTTTGTAAGTTATATAAATATTTAATGCTGTGTTGTACACCAGAAACTAATATTATATGTCAGCTGTAATTGAAAAAAAAATTTTTAATATTTAAAAAAAAATACAAATAACCTACCTCTCTACAGTTCTGATCCAATTGGCCTGGGAAGGAGCCCAGGCAGAAGAAGTGTATTAAAGCTTCTTGAGCCCTGGCTGGTGTGGCGCAGTGGGTTGAGTGCCAGCTGTGAACCAAAGGGTCACCAGTTCGATTCCCAGTCAGGGCACATGTCTGGGTTGCAGGCTAGGTCTCCAGTAGGGGGCATGTTGAGAGGCAACCACACATTGATGTTTCTCTCCTTCTTTTTATCCCTCCCTTCCCCTCTGTCTAAAAATAAATATATAAAAATAAATAAAATATTTTAAAAAAAAAAAAGCTCTTTGAGTCTTTGAGTAATTCTGCTGATTAATCAGGGTGGGGGTCCTCCACTGACAGTGGCCAGGGAAATAGGATGAGCTTTGGGGTGAGACAGAGTTGAGGCTGAGTCCCAGCCTATTCAGGCTGTGATCTTGGGCAAAACACTCAATGCCCCTAAGACTGAAGTTACTGAGGGGCTACTTCATGGAGAGGTAGGGAGTGGCCAGGAGAAGATGTATAAAATTCTCAGCCCAGTTCCTGGCACAGAGCTGGAACTCAGCCCTTGCTGTGGGGCCTCCTCAGCTCTGCGGGGGCAAGTGCTAGAGCTCAGTCACCTGTGGGAGGGGCTGTGCGGAGAGTCTCCCTGGGGGCACTCGTTCTGTGTGTGTGTGTGTGTGTGTGTGTGTGTGTGAGAAACCCAACTCTGATCACAGCTCTTTAATTGATCTCCCCCCACCTTCTCTCTCTCTCTCCATCTCTCCAGGTGCCAAAGGTGACCCGGGCCCACCCGGCCCACCCGGGCCCCCGGGCCCTCCCGGTCCCCCAGGGTCCCCTGGAAGAAGATCCAAAGGCCCTCGGCAGCCAAACATGTTCAACGGCCAATGCCCAGGTCAACCCCTGCCCCAGGGAACCTGCCTCTTCCACTAATAGTCCCAGCTCTCAGGCTTCACACAGGCTTTGTGACTGGATTTCTTAAAGAGAGGGAGGAGATTTTGTCCAAAGCCAGATTTTATCCAAGGAGTTCCCCCTTGCTACATATTTCTGGGAGGCCTGGGCAGTCTGTCCCGGGGATGAGGACTGGGGGCAGGTTAGAATGGGGCTTCCCACCAGCTTCCCTCCTCTCCCACCCCACTTACCAGTGTATCCCTCTTACTTGCCAAATCCACCATCCCTCTCCCCTGGACTAGTCTCGAAGGCTAAACTGTCCACTTCTGGAACATGATGGGCTTGACTGATGCTGGAGAAGATGATGGGGAAGTTCCAAGTGGTGAACGCCCCGCAAATACTACAACACTACCGTTGCCACCACTAAGCACTGAGCGCTAACAGTGTGCCCGGCGCGGCTTCATTTAATTCCCACAGCAATCCTAGGGTAGAGGAATCGTTAGTGTCACCCACCTACAGATACAAAACTGAAACACTCAATATTAAGTGACAGGGCTGGTCTTCAAACCCAGGTGTGCTTCACTATAAAACCCCTGCTCTTAGAACATCTTCCTTTCGGAGACAGAAATTCACACTTAAGACTAAGGCAAGGAACAGCTGACCTCTGGTAGGCCAACAGGACTTGTTCTTTGGCCAGTTTGTGATAGGGGTGGCCACAGGATGGAAAACTACTTAGAAATCAAGGTCCATACTAGTGGAAAATACTTCTAGAGTGATGCTAGACCTTTTTCCCAAAGGCAGTAACCTGGGACCCGCTCACCTCCTTAGGCCGCGAGGGGGCACCACTTGATGCTGTCACTTCAGCATCAGACGGGAGGGCCCCAACCGGCGTGTCGGTAACATCTGCTGTGGATTTCACAGCCACTTTCCTAAAAGTCTTCCGTTTTCTTTGGTGCACTGTTTTTTCTGGAAGGCATTTTGGAGGCATGCACTCAGCTGTAAGAATGGGCAAATCTGTGCTCTCAAAGATGTCCCATGTGCCCCCACCCGCATAAATGGGGCCTGATTAGAAGTCTCGCTGGCAGTTTGCTGCTCCTCCGCTGGCATTCAGCGCCACCGCCTCCATTAGCGTCAGCCCTTTCTGCCTGCACGAAGGGGAGATCTGACCGGAGCTTTGTGGAGTATAATTCCCAAGGCTCTATCAGCCAGTGACAGCGGCTGCCCGGAGGAGCACTGTCCTCTGCCTGGCCTCTGTCCTGAGAGGCTGGTCGGCAGGGGTGGGGCCCCAGAGCTATGGAGACAGAGTTGTGAAGGTGTAAACGAGAGGCCATCATGTCCTACTCTGCCCCCTAGAAATGAGTCCTCTGTTGGCAGGCTCCTTGCACCTGAGCTCGGCCCTCCCTCCTGCTCCAATCCCATTTCTTTAGCCCCCCTCCCGCCCCCACTCCTTTAGAACAGGACTGGTACAGCAGGAATTAACGAGAGCCCTTTCTTCAAACTAAGAACAGGAGGGTCTCCCTGCCCCTTTCTTGTGCAAAGCCCGAGCTCCCCAGGGGATACTCCAGGTGACACTCAGAGGCAGCAGGACCACCGGTGGGGTAGTCAGCGCAGACGCTGAACTGGTCACCTCGGGCGCCCAAGGACTTCGGAGGAACATGAGCGGGCGCGTCCAGCTAGAAACCAGCCCAGAAATCACGGAGCGTCCCGCCCCCTCCTGGCTGATAAAGGAACCGCTCCAGATTATTCCCCGAGCTTCCTCACTGACAGCCGAGGTGCCGCTCTCTGTCCCGCAGCCACAGGGTGATATGAGCCCATTAGAACGGGCCTGGCCTTCCCCAGACAGCCCGATTTGCCCCAACCTGCCCCAGACCAGGGCCCTCCCCCAACCAGTCCACTCCCTCTCGTCGTCGCAGTGGCCATGTCCCCCCTTCCTCCTGTCCTGCTTCTGACACCCTGAGCCACCTCCTCACCAAAGGTCTGAATCGAGCGCATTTGTAATGTGAACAAGGACAAACTGAGGAGGATGGAGGAGGTGCAGCCTCAAACCAAGTGTGAACCAGGTGCCCATGGAGGACCTGAAAGCCGGAGACCTTCAGGCAGGGGCAGGTGGGGAGATGTGGTGAGGGGCTCAAACGTGCCAAGGCCAGGCTGCCTCCAGGCTCCTCCTTCCTTGCGATGCCTCCCCCTGGCGGTCCAGGAAGAGGGGGTAAAGTGGGCCCCCTCCCGAGGCTCCCCCTCCCATCAGCCTCCCTGAAAGGGAAAATCTTCCAGAAAGTTGCAATTGCGATAAGCAATACCACCTGGCCCGAGAGGCCAGGAAAGCGTCAGCAAGCCTCTCTTTCCCTCAGATTGCTGGGATGGACCGAGCTGGCTCAGGCCACTTTTTCCCCTTTTATGGACATTCTCTGGGGATGGTACCGACTTAGCAACTGTGGTCATGGAAAACTTGTTAGGAACTCACCAATTAAGGGGGGAAATGTGGAAGTGTATGACTTGATGTTGTTTAAAAGCAAGCAACCAAGAACCCTGGGGGGCCTGTTGCAAGGGATGCCTGTGGACTTAGAGCCCGCACTGAGGGACGGAGAGCGCCAGCTGGGGGTGGCGCACCGCTCAGTGTGTGACTGCCTTCGCTCTGACTATTGTTGTTGTTTTAGGTGAGACGTGTGCTGTCCCCAATGATGATACCTTGGTTGGCAAAGCTGATGAGAAAGTCAGTGAGCACCATTCCCCACAAGCGGGTACAGAAACAAAGCATCCTATTTTGAAATTCAGAAATTGGATGCCTTAAAGTCATAGTTGGCAGGAGAGTAACTTGTTTTCCTCCTCTTTTGGAAGAATCCATGATCACTTCCATTGGAAACGCAACACAAGTACTAAAAGTCACCGAGACATTTGGGACTTGGATAAGAGAGTCTGCGAACAAGAGCGATGAGCGGATCTGGGTGACTGAACACTTTTCAGGTACTTCTGCCTGACAGCTAATCTGAATCTGTGTTGTCATTGTCTCTTTCATCTGCTGCCTACCTTCAGGCTGATTCGCTTTGTGTGTGCCTGAAATCCTTGCTACTTGGTGTAACAATTGCTCTTTCTTTCAGAAAGCACAGAGGAGGGGACGGGGTACTTCTCTCCTTTGAGCACCCTGCTGGCAGCCCTCCAGGACACAGGAACATGACCAGGGCACCCCCAGGGTAGCTGATCCAATTTTAGGCAAAGTCTCCAGAAGGAAACAATATGGTGTTATGACTGATGGCCTCATAAACCCTCCAAGCATAATGGAGTAGAAATGTCAGAGACAAAGTCTTTTGCACTATCCATCTTTCTCTGAGGTTGCCACCCCCTCCCTTCCCCTGAGAGAGTACTTTTTAGTTATTGCTCTAAGGTATCTGATGGACAGAGAGCCCTGGGGAGAAGGTGAAGTGCCATCCTGCTTCTGAACATGGCCTTAGTCATGATGCCCCAAAGGAAGGCGGTCAGGAATTGCTGGTGGAGGTAGCAGCGGCCTCGTTCCAGAGGGGTCTGGCCATACTCACTGGTCAGAGCAACAGCTGTGATATGCAGCTTCATTTCATCAAGGCTAACGGTTCAGCTGGCAGTGGCTGCCCAGGTGGCCCGCTGAGAAGCACTCTATGGCTCAGAAGGGAAGGGGAAAATGTGAACTAGCAGTCGATGCTGTGGAGGGCAGGAGGAGGCAGGAGGGGACTGAGTAACTGCTGGGTATCTGCTACTCCCAGGAAAGACCTATGTCAGTCTGATAGAAATTTTTATAAACAGTCTAGAGTCAGATGGGGGGGGAGTGACACATTTTCCTGGGAGGAGCAAAGCTGACTCTGTGGCTATTGCATTCAAAAGACAGACGAGATTCCACAGAACGGAACTGGACTTTGAGTTTGGGAGTCTGAGACTCTCCCAACTGGACAAGGACTCTTGCAGGACATCTCACTCCAACCTCCCTCCTTTCCCTTCCTCCCCCAACTCACTCCCCAGCTGTGACTGCCAGACCAGCGGGCAGGTGACAGCCTTTCCTGGGCTTCCCTCCGCAGGCATCAGGGTGAAGGAGTTCAAAGACCAGCCCTCCCTGCTGAACGGCAGTTTCTCGCTCATCCATCTCCCGTATTACTTCCACGGCTGTGGGCACGCCGTTTACAATAATGCTCTCTACTACCACAAAGGAGGCTCCAACACCATAGTGAGGTGAGTCACTCTGCCGGCAGCACCTTCCCCGGCATCCCGGACAGCGCCTGCTGTGGCGCTTTAGCCATCCGCCAGCTGTTTAGCGGTCGGAACTGTGTTTCTATCACTGCGTGTCCCCGGGGCCCGGCACGCAATCAGAGGCCACTCAGGGTTTGCTGACACGATGAACCACTGGACATGGTGAATGAGCCCCCTGTCCCAGCCCCTGCCTGGGGTCTGCATTTATTGCTGGTCTGGACACCGAGAGTAAGGTTGGAGCCAGAGAGGAGGAGACCTGGAACAGTGAGACGTGCAGCTTTCTCAATCGCCGAGAAAGAAAGCAGCCAGAACCCGAGCTCCCTCTGGCAGGAAAGTGTCACACCCTGAAATCGGCCCCCGCCAAGGACCAGACAGGGACCAGTTGGCAGTCCTGAATTCCGGGCGCTCAGAGGAAGGAGAGCCCCGCGAGCCGAGATGGGCGGGCAGGGCCTTCTGGAGTCCCCTTCTTTACCTCCATGGATAATATCTTTCCCTCCATGGATAATATAAAAGAAACACGGAGCCCTGGTTTCTTTTCAAACTTACTTCAGGGTTTCTTAACTGGCTTCAAGTCTGTTATGCTCCGATGCGTGTCCCAGAGTCCCACGCATCCCGCTTCTTCTGCTGCTCAATGGCACCCTCTAGTGTTTCTCTTTTCTTTCATCCTAATGTCTGAATTGTCATTCCTGGAGTCAGGTATCTTTTGAATCATAAATTCACTTTATGATATGGCCTGGATTTAGAACCGGTTACATGAGATGGCCTCCAGGAGCTGAGGGTACGGGGTTCCGTGTATAGCTTCGTTCACCCAATCACCCGCCAGACATGACTTTACAGCCACGACTTTGCTACCTTTCTTCCAGCTGGTGACATCTTAACTTAGACTGCTGTGAAATTTTGGACTTAAAATTCTAGCACAGAGTGGAGAAAGAACCCCTAAAACTTGGAGTTGGAAATCCTAAGCTCTAACTTTGGCTCAGCTAGTTTCTTGTATTCCTGGGCCAGTCCCTTCTTTTTCACTGGTATTAGGTTGGCCAAAAAGTCCATCACGTTTTTCCGTACGATGGCTGCAGTAGTACTTGGTTGTCTTTACCTTCATTCAAAACAATTTTGTTAGACTGTATTGTCACAGCTGTCACATCAGCATGCATTTAAAAGAACTTATCAAAATTGATGAATTTTTATGCAGCCATTTTAATATTGAAGATGGAAGAAGATACACATTTTCAGCATATCATGTTTTATTATTTCAAGAAAGGTAAAAATGCAACCGAAACTGTACGGTGTATGGAGAAGGTGCTGTGACTGATCAAATGTGTGAAAAGTGGTTTGCGAAGTTTCTTGGTACTTTTGACATTTCAGCCAAATAATTCTTTGCTGTGAGGCTGTCTTATGCATTGGAAGATGTTTAGCAGCGCCCCTGGCCTCTACGCACCAGAAGCCGATAGTGGGAGATAGCCACTATTCAACATACAACATACTCAAAACATCCAAATCGATAAGGTTACGAGTGAAAATGAAAAGTGTGTCTTTTATTTTACTGAAAAAAATGTAAAGGGCTTTTTGGACAACCCAATCAAATGAAAGGGCTGGACCAGATCTCCCGTGGAGGCCCCCAAAGCTCTAGGAAACTGTGAGAGGGCATCTCAGGAGGTTGGCAAACACGAGGCTTCTTGAGGCGAAGGGATCTTCCTGGGGTCACATGGCTGGCAGGTGGACACTTACATGTGGCCACTGTCCTTTATACCCCTACTGCTCAGAGCAAGCATGACCTGGGAACTTACTAGAAATGCAGAATTGCAGGACCCACCCCAATTTAATCAAGGAACCTAAAAACCTCCCTTGTCCGCAAAAATGGTGACTCATCTCTACTTTTTTTACACATTTCAGATTTGAATTTGGCAAAGAAACATCCCAAACCCTGAAGCTTGAACATGCCTTGTATTTTGATCGAAAATACCTCTTTGCCAATTCCAAGACGTACTTCAATTTAGCTGTAGATGAGAAGGGCCTTTGGATTATCTATGCCTCCAGTGTGGACGGCTCAAGCATTCTCGTAGCCCAGCTGGACGAGAGGACATTCTCTGTGGTGCAGCACATCAACACCACGTACCCTAAATCCAAGGCCGGCAACGCCTTCATTGCCCGAGGGATCCTCTACGTCACAGACACCAAAGATATGAGGATAACATTTGCCTTTGATTTGTTAGGAGGGAAACAGATCAACGCAAGCTTTGATTTAAGAACTACTCAGTCTGTTCTTGCCATGCTATCGTACAATAGGAGAGACCAGCATTTATATTCGTGGGAAGATGGTCATTTAATGCTCTACTCTGTGCGGTTTTTATCAGCCACGTTAAACCAGTGACGATGCGTTCTGTTCCCCTCAGTGACCACCCTTGATCTAGAACAGCAATTTTCAACCGCTGTGCTGCAGGAGTTCTCTGGCACCATTTATGTCCCAACAGAAAACTGTCGTTAAGGGTAGCCAGGCACTTAGCTATCCTATTTCATGATATGAGGGTTTATACAGTTGGTAAATGCTCTTTATGTTCAGGTTCTTTAAAGGAAAGTAGCAGATTAGAAGTTACAATGGCTGAGATTTGGTGATCCCTCCACAAACTAGCTGGGCAAGTTACCTCTTCCTCTCCGGCCCCTTTTCCCTCCATGGATAATATAAAAGAGCTGGCTAAGATGATGGGTAAGATTTTTTCTACCTGGAGGGAATTCGGTGATTTTTGGCCATTGCAGCTTTTACAACTTTTATATATTTGGGTATTTTGCTTTGTTTTGAGCCATGTGCTGAGCAAATTTACCTCTGAGTTGACCGGCCCAATTGCTTGAGCAATGAATTCCTTAGTGCTGACTTACGCTTGGTGCCTCGGGAAGCGGCACTGACCCGTTCAGGCCGCTGAGGCACCACATTACCCAGAGTTTGTTCCCCTTCTCTGCCTCTGTACCTGCCAGCACAACACCAGGATGGCCACCCCCCACAGCTCCTGATCGCTGCTGCAAGATTAGCAAAAGCCGGCAGCAGCTGCAAGCCCAGATTTTCTAATAAAACAGGAACAGGCCCTTCCACACTCCTGTCAGTTTCTGATTGCTGACTTGCAGCTGTGGGTCATAAAATGAATCCTCAGGTCTCACTGGCTTCTTCTGTGCATCTGCTATTGGAGTACTAAATACTGTGTGAGTGGGCATTTGCTAGCCAGAAGTATGGGAAGCACTTGGCAGTTTTCAGAAGAGAGGCACCATATGTGGTTAATTAAAACAGGGAAGGGCAAACTATGGCCCACGGGCCAAAGCCAGCCCATTAATTGTTTTCATAAATAAAGTTTTATTGAAACAGAGTTACATGCATTTGGCTATGTATTGTTGCCTGTGGCTACTCTTGCTCTATAATGGCAGAGTTGAGTCATTGCAAGACAGTTGAGTAGCAGCCCTCAAAGTCTAAAACATTGATCCTCTGGCCCTTTGCGGCAAAAGTTTGCCCACCCTTGATCTAGAACAGCAATTTTCCACCGCTGTGCTGCAGGAATTTTTGAAACATGCAATAGCTGACTATTTAGTCAGAGGCACTGACCTCTTTTTCCCTAGATTGTCAAATTAAAAAAAAAAAATGACCATACTCATCTGGTGTGAATGAATCAAAATTATACCCATATTTTTTTTGGTCAGGTCAGCCAAAAATATATATATTTTGGTGTGCCGCAGAATTTTAGTAATTAGTTTATTGTGTCATGAGATGAAAAAGGTTGAAAATCGCTGGCCTAGAGTATAAAGTGAGCCTGATTCTCGGAAGGGCTTATTCATAAGAGCCTGCTTATTTTGTTTTGTTCCAGACCCAAAACTGGCCACTTATATGGTTTGAGATTTTTGATAGAGGGAAAGGGTATAAAATTAAGTGGTCTTCCAAACAGCACTTAGTGACCTGTTCTTTCTCTAAAACAGTTTTAAAGGTTGTGATCGGGTCCCTTTGAAAGCCAGGAGAAAATCCAGTTTAACTTTCTCCTAAACATCCTTAAATATGTATGTTTTCTGCCAGCTCAGTTCTTCAAACATCCTTCAGCCAGGCAGGACCACTGAGAGTAGCGAGGAATCTAGAAAGTTACCAGGGTCCTGCAGCCAGTAGGCAACTTAGGGACACTCTTACGTAAAGATGTTTCCGTGATTTGCCCTCACTGAGTACGTGTGTGTTTAGGGAAATTCTTCTGTAACTTTTTGACTGGGACTCATTCTCACTGACTCTGAGTCCTGGTTTTATACCTTATTAATAGAAGCATTTTAAAACTTAGGGGATGTGCTGATTTAAATATTTAAATCTGTCCGCTGAAAATACCTAGATAGCTATGAAGGAATTTTTTGTTGCGTTCTCAAAGGAAGAGTATTTAAAACTTTTTTCTCCATTTTTAAATTAGATTGGTTGTGTTTTGTCATCACAGCTTTTAAAAAATACTCTTCAGGTTCATGTTTTGTAAAAAAGTAAAATAGAGATTCATATTCAAGATCAATGTGTCTAAGGAATGCCAGTCTTCTTTCAAAGTATTTAAATATATGTGTTGCATTTCTGGACACGGAAGACCTGGATATGAACATAATTTCATAGTAATAGCCATGTAGTAATAGTACTATATACAACACTAATTGCATGTGTGGTAGCAACCATTAAGATTAGTCATTAAATTTGCACATATTCCTTTTAGGAAAAAGTTTTAGAACCCCCAGTTCTTGCTTGAAGTCTGAGCTATCTTGGCTCCCCTAATTGCGGGTAAAGAATTATACACTCATTACTAGAGAAGCTTATAGAGGGTTGTATGTTTTGTTCAGGTTTGGTTTGGTTTGGTTATGGCAGAGTGATATAAGAACAACAGAGTTCTATCAGGTCTAATGGATAATTTTATGTGGTTGAAAGTTTGCCTTTACAGAGAGAAAGAATAAGACTTTACTCATTTTTTTCTGCAAGCAGTGTTTGATTAAAGGGGAAAAAAAGGTTTGGATTCACTGCTAAAATAGAATATACAACTGAATGTTTTTAAGTCAAGATAACGTTCTAGCAGTTTCCACTGTCACTTATTACCAAAGTTGCTTTCAAGCACTTTCCAAATAGCTGCACCTTTGATGTCAGAATCAAACCAGATAATTCTCTAATTCTCCTTTAATCTAAAGTAGATAGCTTCCCCCTGGAAAATAAATAAAACCACCCATCCCAACCTCAAAGGTAGATTGGACTCTATTTCAAAGTATTTTCTTTCAACTGATAACATTTCCTACTGAAGCCATGCAGGTGGGTACAGTCTCATCATATCACTAAGTACAGGTGTTGTAACGGAGAAAGAGTTCTGGGGTGAAAGTTTTCAAATGGCTGAGTTCTGATCTTAGGTGTTTTGACAGTCTTATTTCCCTCAAGGTTGTAAGGTGAAAAGTCAAATGAGGCACTGCAATTCTTGAAGAGCCAGGTGTCATTTTCGGGTTGCACAGAGCACATTTTGGCTATGACTTTTTGATGTCAAACCACCGAAGGAGGAGTATGTGATAGGGCTTTTCCATTTTCATCCAGCTGCTGTGACCTTGTGTATCATATCATTAAAAGTCATAATTTCCAATCTGTAACCATAGGCTCCGAACAATTCTCAACAACAAATGAATAATGGTGAATGTCTCTTTTTTTGGTTGTAATTTACTTTAATTAGCCAATAAAATAATCATTGCTGAACACAATCATATGTTGAAACAAGCGTATTGTAATTTTTAATGCTTGGTAATTTACATGCAACATTTAAAAGAAAAAACAACCACCAAAACCGATATCATGGTAGAATTATATTGGGAGGCGTTTCTGTTGAAATTTCTAGAATTTGCTAGCTCCTCCTGAAAACTCGCTGATATGGACTGTGGTTTCTCTATAGGAAAATGAAAAAATGTAACACTCGTAACTAGGACTAGATCTACACAGACATCAGTGCAATGAAAACTTGCTAATTTATCGGCATAGGAAGGCAAATGAAAAGGACATAGCGTTTGGGGCTGAAAACTAAAAAGAACAAATTTTAAAACTGGATTTGTATGAATTTGGGCAAGTCTCTTAATGGCTTGAACATCTGTTTATTTTGTAAAATGTGGGTATAGTGTTACTTAGCTTCCTTCGATTTCTCTATGTGAAATGAGAAATGTTCTGAAAGTAATATAATTCTTGGTAAATTATAGTTGTAACTTTTATAGTTCATTCATACAGGAAACCAGAGTGACCCTGTTTTTCTTCTGGCTTTATTCAAGCACTGCTCGGGGACACAGAACCAACAGTTTCTATCTGCTGGTATATGCTGGTCTGTTTGTTTAGGTAGTCAGCACTCCACACCACCAAAAAAAAAAAAAAATGGCCCTTTAGTTATACAACAAATTTACGATAAAACTTCCCCCAAATAATAATTTTTAAAAAACAGCTCACGGGCATGCTGCTTTGGCCTATAGAGCTTCTTTACAACCTTCTCTAGAAGCATCTCTGTTAGTAGGCAGCCCAGGCATGTACTGCAGATAACTTTTGTCGTTAACATAATAGAGCAAAAAGAAAAAAGACCACAAAGAAAACATTAGTTTTGCTTTTTAATTGTTCTATTCAGACTTTAGATGTGATGTTAAGATACCCAATCTTATAGCCATTCACTGTTAGATTTAAAGGAAGAATGAAATTAATCTGCCTCACTATTTTCTCTCCAAGCAATCTGCTATGAGCAGCCTCAAAAACGGAGCTACTTAAGAAATTGTGGTCAAACTCTCTCTAAAATGTGACAAACACACACACACACACACACACACACACACACACACCCTAATTCTAAAATTGCTAGGTATCTAGCATTATCAGTGTCCCAATCTCATTTGCCAAGAGACCACATACATACCCACAGGGTTACAAAAGATCAACACTAGATGCGATCTTCACGGAACACCCACTCCAACCCTCTCACATTAAAGTCTAAGAAAGTGAAGCCAGAGGAGGTAACTCCCTCAACACCACAGCTTAAGGGCCAGCATGCATCAACAGGAGATGCTGTGTCCTGACTTTATGATCGTTTTCCACCTCCCTCTCCTTCTTCCAAAGTAAGGATCTGGCCTTTGTAATTGGAAAGTGGAAATAATTAATGCTGAATATTTTTTAAAGGCACTCCTTTTTAAAAGCTATATCTATAGGAATAAGTCAAACCCAGCCTAGTGAGACAGAGAACACTCCCGGCAAAGAAGCTGTCGGCACAGTGATGCCAATCATCGCCTTCTGCGAGGTAGGCCCGCAGGCTGATGTCCAGCACCAGGTGTTATTCTAAAAACTACCACCACCATTGGATGACCCTTCCAGGCCCAAAGTCCTAGAGG